AATTTTGCACGCTTCATGAACCACTGCTGCCAGCCAAACTGCGAGACTCAAAAATGGACTGTTAATGGGGACACTCGAGTTGGACTTTTTGCCTTGTGTGACATTAAAGCTGGTAAGAAGAATGAATTTTACATAGCAGTATTCTCGTTTTGAAGTTTTAATACTCCCTTTTTTTCAGTGATATTGAATACTTTGATATTCCTATGGAATAAACCTTCTCCTCCCCTATGGTAATCAAGTCTTCCTTCCATGTGGTCAGGAACAGATAAGTGTAAACCTTCACTTTGCCCTCTAAGGCAGTAGAAGACAAAGTTAATTTTAACAAATGATTCCATAGGGTGACACAGTACTTGCTATGCTCCATCACCAGATGGCCTTTGTATTACAGATGATTTTGAAAGGGTGGAACAGAACGCAAATTCCTCCTTGGTTTCTTTCATTAGATTGAAATCGCAGGCTCAGGATCATGTGGACATTACCTAGGGCAGTCTGTATGCAAATGCAGCCTACCTTGGAGTGCCTCTTCTCCAGACTCTAGCCCCTCCTTTTAGCCATGATGTCTTGTACAGAGAAGCATAGATCCCCATTGGCGACTTCGATGGGCCTAATATAGGCTATATAGTGAAAATGGAAAGTTTAAAAACTTCATTAGCGTATTGGGAGGGGGGCTGTCAACCCCCTTTTAAACTTACATGTGTAACATTTTCATAGACTTTTTATAGATGCTATCCCATTTCACATCCTGTGGTGATAATATATTGGATGCAAAGTTAAACTTTTGGAACATCTTACGTAAAGTGTTACTAAACCCACAACAATTAAAATCAGTATGTACAGTATTTCACAGAAGTGAGTGCACCCCTTACATTTTTGTAAATATTTTATTCTATCTTTTCATGTGACAACACTGAAGAAATGACACTTTTATACAATGTAAAGTAGTGAGTGTACAGCTTGCATAACCGTGAAAATTTGCTGTCCCCTCAAAATAACTCAACACACAGCCATTAATGTCTAAACCGCGGGCAGCAAAAGTGAATACACCCCTAAGTGAAAATGTCCAAATTGGGCCCAATTAGCCATTTTCCCTCCCCGGTGTCAAGTGACTCATTAGTGTTACAAGGTCTCAGGTGTGAATGGGGAGCAAGTGTGTTAAATTTGGTGTCATCGCTCTCACTCTCTTACTGGTCACTGGAAGTTCAACATGGCACCTCATGGCAAAGAACTCTCTGAGGATCTGAAAAAAAAGAATTGTTGCTCTACATAAAGATGGGACTAGGCTATAAAAAGATTGCCAAGACCCTGAAACTGAGCTGCAGCACGGTGGCCAAGACCATACAGCTGTTTAACAGGACAGGTTCCATTCAAAACAGGCCTCGCCATGGTCGACCAAAGGAGTTGAGTGCACATGCTCAGCATCATATCCAGAGGCTGTCTTTGGGAAATAGACGTATGAGTGCTGTCAGCATTGCTGCAGAGGTTGAAGTGGGGGGGGGGGGGGGGGGGGTGTATGCCAACCGGTCAGCCTTATTTCTGAACTTTCTCTCCAGATCCTGTTTTAGGTGCTTACTTTGCCACTTATTGCACTGCGTGATGTTAGCAATGGGGTGCTATACTGGTCCAAGGCCATGATCCATTTGTATGATTCCCAGCACCTGAAGAGACCACTTTGAGGGTATGACCACTGTGATGAGCAAAGCCTGCACCTCTAGTAGGACCAGCAAGGTTAAACATGGTTTCCCTGCATGTTAACACCTGCCACTGGCTTTTTTTTAACACAATCTGCAGTGTCTAGCACATTATGCATTGTTTTAGGCAGAAGATTGGGTGGTGTTTACTTTTTATTGTGGTAACCCCTGCCATTGTCTCTACTGTTTCTTGGTGCAAGCAATTTAAAGATATTTTTTTCTCCTGCTATTTAGCTTTGTAGTAGGAGCCTGAGGTAACTACATTGCACCTCTTGGTGTGAAACTCAAACTGTCGTTCAGGCTGATAGCTATTCCCTTTTCCTGGAGCAGTGTCCTATTTTGACAGTGCTCACCTTATTTGAATCTAGTTCCTTCTCAGGCATACACCATACGTCCTGTCTGACAAAAATCATATTTCTCTGATTTTGGAAAACTCTCTGCACTTCACAAGTCTTCGGTTTCAAGAGACTGCAAATGCTACACTTCCTCTATTCCCCATGACAAAGTTCAGGATTCAGAAGAAGAACCTCGCCTCCTTAAAGAGGAGCTACAGTCTCCTATCCAGAATTGTAATAAAAGCATCATTGTGATTCCTGTGACTTGCAGCATCTAATTTGGATATTCCTACACCTGTCCACATAGTATGTACCTGATAAATCTTTTGTTATTCATATCCTCCGGGTATACTGGCAGCTGTCATTGCAGATATTGGCATCTGAAATCTGCTCCTATGCATTTCCTGGTTTTGGGTGCAGCTGGCTACCCAATATGCACTTAGCTGTCTCGGGCATGAGCGGTAATACCGCAATATTCGATGCTTAAGATGCACAAAGACTCCTGGGATCGATGACAGATATCCCAGGAGTCCATGGGATAGCCTGATGATGCAGTCGCCCTAGGCGAGTGGGACCGGAAGTGCCACAAAAATTATGGGCGGGGGGGTGTATGTAGGGGAAGGTACTTTCAATTAATAAAAAAAATTTACCATTTACTCATGCACTGCGGGTGGGCATTGTGATAGGGATAACGTTAAAAAAAAACAGGTAGAACTCTGCTTTTAAGGGTATTTTGGATGAAAGTACTGAGGACTTTTGTAGCGGAGATTGAAGAGTGTATCTCAATCCTACAATATAGGGAAAGTATTCATATGCCATGGGTTATAGGCTCATTCCTTCAGATGATTGGACACTGGCAAGACATGCCCCCTGGCGCGCGTCTCCTAAAACCTTACCCCATTCCGTGAGTCCTTAGTTTTTTGCTAGTGTTTGTAGTTGATTGACCTCTTCTCTTTCCCAGAGAAACCAGCTCCATTAGTTTTACTTCTCCTATTTTATCTTCTGATTCTGTAGTCAACCCTTACTGTCTTCTAATGGCTACACAGAAGCAGTGTAACCACATCAGCACAACCTCTGTAAAACCTCAGGAGCTGTGCCCGGACAGCTTGTAATGGGGCTTTGGGCACTGGTTTCTGCACAGGGCACTCACCTTGGCACTTAGTGCTATGCATTGAGTTAGCCACAAGGCGTTATGTTCATTTCTATAAAAAAGAAAAAAGGACAGCAGTGCTTTCTGAGTGTAGCATGTAAGGGTAATTTATTCACAAATAAGGCAACTCACAAGGAAAGCTGGAAGAGCCGCATGTCACATAAGACCTTCTAAAGATGATCCTGTCCAGACCGCTGGTTGTGGTGTCTCCTCAGACCTAGAAACAGTCATGTTGGTGGTGTCCAAGGCTCCAGCCAAGCTGGGGGATCAGTGAGACAGCGGTGACATCACTGGAAGCAGGAGTAGAGAAGAGGCCAATGGGCTGGCTCGTTCAGAGCATGTGTGCTCCTTCCTCAGGCTGTGATGCGGAGTATACTTAAAAAGATTTAGCCAAAATATGCGGACTAATATGCCCAGAATAATTATAGCTATATAATGCAGCTGATGGGTTGTAAAAACGGATATCCAATATACCTCATAAAGAGGGAATACAAATATAAAAAATAAAGAGCGAAAATACTAATGGTATAGGAAAATAATATTGTAGGAAAACAATAAAAGGAACCTAGCAATAAAATTAGTCACAACAATATTAATAGGTTATCAGAGTTAAGGCTAAAATAAAAAAACCTAATTGCTCCTTATTGATTGCCAAAAAACTGGAGTCTCTTGGAGTGGACAGGGTTTATATGGGTACACTATAGGGTCAGCTCTAGCAAGGTATGTCAAAATTCCCAGTTTTTTGTAATGCTTTCTTACCTTTTTTGTTTTCAGGTACTGAATTAACATTCAACTATAACTTGGAATGTCTGGGAAACGGAAAGACCGTGTGTAAATGTGGCGCGCCAAACTGCAGTGGTTTTCTAGGAGTCAGACCTAAGGTGTGTTTGCTTTTTTTTTTTTTTTTTTTTTTTTTTTTTTTTTAATTACGGTGCAGAAAGGAAATATATATGTTATCCCCATGGCTCGTCCAATTTGTTACTCACATGCCCTTTCAAAGAACCCATTTTTTTAAACCATGCCGTATTTGCTGTGATTTTTTGTTTTTTTCTTTTTAAGTTTAAATTACTTTTTCATGCTTTCTCTTTTTTGCTACACACTTTAGTTGGTTTGATAACTTTTATTGCAAGGCATATGTCCAGCTGAGAGAAGGGGTGATTCTTGGCTGGTCACTTGATAAGTAGAAGAGTGGCAAATGTATTTAAAGTGTAACTAAAGTCAAAGCTTGCCCTTTTTTTTTTTTTTTTTAATTAAGTGGAGCAGGATTAGAACATCTGTCAGTTTTTATTGCTACCTGTACCCTTGTCCAGTTTAGCATTATCATTGAAAGTCAAAGGAAATCTTTACATTTTGGATTGACATCAGAACAGTAATAGCGGAGGACACTAGTTCTGGAGACGCCCAGTATTCCATCACTTTGGAGGGATTTCCTCTCCCTTCCTGTTTTGGCTATGGGACAGGACGTGAAGAGAAATCTCACCTATGGGACACAGATGGCAAAAAAACTGACAGGTTATAACTCTCAAGTTATCTAAAACGGGGGGGGGGTTCAGGTCTACTTTAAATATTTGGGTGGTAGACACCTTTCCTTCCAAGCCTTCTTTACACTTTGTTGTAATGTGTTCATTCAGTAACCAGGACTCTATTAATATAAAATGTTTTTCCCAGTTGCAGTTGTGGATCTCCTAGCTGTGTATCTTTTCTGTAAAGTTATCTTTACCATAGTGACAAAAGCTGACTGACTTTGCCTATTTTGCTTCTATATTTAAGAACCAGCCAGTGTCTGAAGACCGGGCCAGGAGGAAGTATATAAAACGCACAAAGAATGAAGTGGTTAAGGAGCATGAAGATGAATGTTTCAGCTGTGGAGATGGAGGGCAGCTTATTACATGCAAAAAAACAGGTTGCCCCAAGGTTTATCATGCTGACTGCTTAAGTTTAACACGTAGACCTGCTGGTAAGTAAACATTCCTGAAAGGTATTATACTGATGCTTGCGTATAAACCTTTAGTGATGCCCTAATAATTAAATGTGTTTTACAGTGTATGTGTATGTGTGTGTGTGGGGGGGGGTCATTGCTCCCTGATGGTGGACAGTTATAATGCAAATAGGAAGAGAGAAGAGCGAGATAAAGGACACCACTATGTTTATGCTGACAAATGTTTAATACTGTCAGGTGTATTTTTTAAATTTGACCTGTATAAAAAATGTATATTGAAAATCTATAATTTGGCTGCACCAAGGCAGATATTTGTGTTGTCCAAGATAACCGGAAGAATGAACTTCTGTGAAACCAAGTGGCTTGAGATCATTTGTGATCTGCTTATTCCTAATGGAATCTCTAGTTTTGAAACTACAAAGAAACCACAAACTACCACCACTGGAAGTTTAGTTAACTCCAAACTAAAAGTTTCACCACGTTTATAACTTTTAATGTCCTTTCCTTTTAAGCCAATTATTTCAATGCACTTAACGTCTACATAATCTTCAAGGGATACGCATGATTTCTATTTAACTGTCAACAGGGCCCAGTCTTCCTTCCATATGTAGACCAATGGAAAAAGGGGCTGTAATAACATACAATTTAAACTTTTTAAATTCTATTTTTACTGTGGGCAAGCAGACTTTGTCAAAAATCATGAAATTTGACATGGCCAACTTTAAAGCTAGGTTCATACCTACGATTGTGCAGGCACAGCCCATTCATTTGAATAATCTGCTGTACCTGTGGGAAATGCAGGAAAAAGTTCCTTGTACCTTTTTTGTAAAAAATTGCAGCCACATGGAAATAGCATGCTACATTTGCACCATCTGATTTCCCACACTGGAAAACGCACTGTGCTTTCAGATGCGTGGGGGGTGCTATTAAGAATTAATAGCAGCTCCATGTGTTTGCTAAAAAGCAGCATGGTTTGCTTGTGGATGTGGGAATTTTACATGCATTTCTGAACCCACAAATATATGATCCTGGCTTAACGCTGGTTAAATGACAAATGTGTCTGCACCTCCCCTCTAACCCATCCCATCCTCCCTATTTCTCCCTACCACTAGCTCCTCTTATCTTTTTCTCTTCTATCCCTTTTAACCTGTCCTTTATACTTCAGTGGTGACCAATGAATACAGGTTTCTTGCACTACTAAAAAATGATGAGATGTTATTTGGAAACTGTAAAGGCATTAGGGATATGAGCAATTCTAACTGTACCCATTAATTCCATTTTATGTAACTGATTATTTGCCTGTACTGTTGCTTGACTATAGCGTGTTCTGTATAACACTCTATTATACTCTTTACAAATTAAACAGATTGCAACAGAGCTCTACTGAAACCAGATGTATAACTTACATTTGACAATCTATTACACCTCCTGCCATGATTTTAGACCGTCATCTACTTTGGCACAAAATTCCTGACATAATAGGGATTGGAATAAAGATGGGCTTTTGGCATAAAATTTTTAATTTAAATATGATCCTCATTAGTCACAAAGGATATAAATTTACTTTGTGTGCTCCTAATGCCAAACACAAAACCTTTACCTTTTTAAAATCTTCAATGACATTAGTACTGTGTTGCAAATAACTTGACAAAGGGGGTGGATACAAGACGAATCATCCTGCACAAGGAGAGAGAGTTGGATGAGCCAGTCTTTATTATGGCAAACTCCTGCACACAAAGTGCATTAGTTGTTCCATGTTGGATTACTGCTCAGATCTGATGATACCAAGATTCAAGGAAGAATGCAAAAGCCTCTTGTATTTAGACCGATTTTAACTTCAATGTGTTGGATTTGCCTATGTAGTTTTAAATGGTGGGGTATGCCCCTGGCACACTTTTGAACTGAGGAAGAAATTTGGATAAGTGGTGAATGTGACAGACTACTACTACTGCTGCTGGCATATAAATATCATATGTATCCTTAAAAAAAAAATACATAAACTTAACGTTCCAGGGAAGGTTCTTACAGAGTTTATTTGGCAACCTTTATTTGCTCCATCTGATGTTTTGAGAGACACTTAAATTAACCTTTTTTTTTTTTATTTTTTTTTGTTTTATTTAGGCACATACTGTAAAACTTTTTATAAACTTCTTGACAGATATTTTCTTTTTTTTTTTTCATTTAGGCAAGTGGGAATGTCCGTGGCATCAGTGTGATATCTGTAACAAAGAGGCAGCTTCTTTCTGTGAGATGTGCCCCAGCTCCTTTTGTAAAGTTCACCGTGAGGGAATGCTCTTCATCTCCAAGCTTGATGGACGATTATCCTGCACTGAGCATGACCCATGTGGGCCTAATCCTTTGGAGCCAGGTGAAATTCGTGAATCTGAATCCTCTTCTAGCAGAAAGAGTGATCCTATCCATCCACCTTCTACCACAAAAGCTGTAGCAGACAGTGCCAAGGAGAAAAGCCCTTCCTTAGTTGATAAGAAAAGCAAACTAACAAAAGTGTTGCTGAGTCCCTCTTTAACTGGTACTCAAGAACCTGTATTCCTGGCTCTAGGGGAAAATACAAAGCCCCCTGGAAAGGTTTTAGTTGGGTGTTCGGATAAAATGTCCCTGTCTGCTGGGAAAATACTTTTGACCTCTGCAGGCCAGAAGTCACCCACTGGTAGAAAGCTGATTCTGGCCTCTTCAGCACAAAAGCCATTGCCTCCTGGAAAATTGCTGTTGGCCTCTTTGGGGAAGAAATCTTTATCTACTGGGAAACTGTTGCTGGCCTCTATAGGAAAGAAAAGTCTGTCTGCTGGGAAGGTACTGCTAGCCCCTGTAGGAAAGAATTCTTCACAAGTTGGGAGAGTGCTGCTATCTCCTACAGGAACACACGCAGGGAAAGTCGTGTTGGCTTCAGCTGGAAAGTTACCAGCAGAGGCAGGGAAGGTGTTCTTGACTGCTGCTGTTAAACACCAGGCTGTTGCAGGAAAACCTGTTTTGGCCGATGACAAAGTTCTAGCTGGCAAATCTGATTATGTGAAAAAAAGCCAGTTTGATCCTCAACCTAACAGTACACCTCAACCTCCTAGGACACTACCCCGTAATACCTCTGCAGATAAATGTAATACTCCTTTACAGAAAAAATTAACTTTTGTCACACCTAAACAGGAGCCTAAAGATCCCTGCCAAAAAGTGAGCACTGGTTTAACAAAAGAGAGGCCTCGCCGTGCTAATGATTATCACGATGGTTGGGACAGCAAAGAGCAGTCTAAGTCTTCTTCCCAGAGATTGCCCATTCGTACATCTCAGGAGAAACTAAGCACCCTTGAAGGAATATTGTCTACGGCAGCCACAGAAGAGAAATTTGAAAGCTCAGAACGGTTAAAGAAACCTGTATATTGTATACAAACATCCCCCACTACTTCAAAAGACCAAACTAGGATCGCCAAAGAGAGGCTTCATTCTGTATCTGGCAAAACTTTCAGCCCAGTACCTGACAACCATTCAGAAGATAAATATTTGCCATCTATAGACTGCATTGAAGAAACGTCTCTCTCTGATCGACAAGGGGCAGGTGTTTCTGCTGGGCAGGAACTTACTACAGAGTGCCAGGCGCAAACCCCTTCTAGCGCTTCTCAAGGTCTTGCTGTGTGCACTGCACCTGAAAAGAAGTAACTTGTAGAGCTTCAGATTGAACTTGTGCCTCATCACGTTTTGAAAAATGCAAAGCATTGTGCGGACTCAGCTGCCATGGCTGTATAGAAAATAGATGCAGTGTAATTGCACTGTAAACACAGCATGCAGACTGTTACATTTTGATTTGCTTTTAGCTGATGACATTTTACAGTTAGACTTGGTCCTTCCATCACTGAGCGCAAACTGCTCCTTTCTTGTCACTAATACGGATTTATGTATTCTTGAAATGACAACTGTTGTCCTTTAAAAAGGCTGTGGCCTATTAAAAAAAAAAAAACAGCAATAAGGCACTTCTGGCAATGTTTTGAGTCTACAAACAATAGTCTGGAGCTTGGCAGCAGAGAAATAGAGAGGTGCCTTATTACAATGATATGTAGTATTTTAAGCTGAGGATTTTTAGGAAACTTTTAATGCCAATGGGACCTCAAAATTGGATGTGTGCTCTTTGGGTGAGGGTTCCATTGTCACTGAGTAGTATTGGTCTCTTCTTGATCTGTCACTGCATGCCTGATTTTCTTACTATAAAAATTGGATGTTTTGTAACGCATACTTTACTGTTAATGCTTATTTACATTTATTTAGATACGTTCAAGTATGGGACTGCAGTATTAAGCATTAACATGAGTCCTTCTATTGAACTAGGCAGAAAACATCCTTATTCTGCCTTTTGACAAAGGTTGCCTAATTTCTAAGAAATACACTTTAAAGTAGTGAACAATACATGGGGGGGGGGGGGGGGGACTATAGCCTAGGTAATCAGGTTTTAAACTAGCCCCAGCCAAATCTAATATTTCAGTTATGAGAGAAGTTTGGCAAGTTTAAGTGTGTGTGTGCGCGCGTGTGTGTGTGTGCGCGTGTGTGCGCGTCTTCTCTTATAACGTGCACTTCAGTTCACGACTTTGCTTCCCACCCCCTCATGCCAATCAAATGGGTCTAAATCTTTCAGCCTGCTTATTTTGCAGTGAAGATCAAGTGGATTGAGAAACAGAATAAGACCCTTTGTGGTGGGTGGAGTTTAGAAGGAGGGATCTTGCTCAATGGATGGGCATTCTGCAACAAGGGTTGGGAACCTTTAACTGGAAGGATAATCTTTCAGGATATATATATATATATATATATATATATATAGATATATATATATATATATATATATATATATATATATATATATATATATATATATATATGCCAAGCTCTGCAGCTAAATATTAACTTAAATCCCTTGTTTTGGAGTGACATCCCATTCCATGCATTTTTTTTCCCCTCTTCCATCATTAGTCAAGTGAAGTGCACAATTTGTGACAGATTTTAAGTAGGCTGGTGATGCTAAGCCAATGGATATCTCAAGGCTGTAAGTAAGAGACCATATGACATGTTTGAAAGATCGCTAGGGTAGCTGTCTAGAGGAATGGGAAAAATAGCTTGAGTCTGCTGTAACAGGCATTTTTGGCTGTAGCCAATGACTGGGCCACCCCAGTTCGAAGTGCACATTGTGCTGTGTCAACCTCCTTTCTGCACATTAAGCTTACATCTGCCTTTTGTTGAATCTGAGCAGTGTTAAGCTGGGAACCATGGTGCTATCGGCAGCTGTGCTTTGTGTTTTTACTGTATTCTGTTTTTTTAAACCACCTTGTAAGTCATGGTGTTGTTGGTGTTTGTACCAGTGCCTCCATGACATGAGCTGAGTCTTTGCTCTTCTTTTTTTTTTTTTACCTTGTTCTGCCCTTTTAGTTCTGTGAACTTTTTATGTTTATTGTTTAGTAATATGGGTCAGAGCGCAAAGGACTCACTTTATTATTTTTTCAATAAAGTAGACTTACAATTTTAAACCCCTTTTAAGTGCATGAATGACAGATTTTTTTTTTTTTTTCATGTTTTTCTTTTTTTCATTTAGTTGCATTGCTCACAAAGTGCGTTTTTTGTTTCTACCAATTGACATGTCCACCTCTTGCCCCCTGCAGAGATGTTAGATAAGTTGTAACCACTGACCGCTATTCAGTCACGTAGGTGGTGTGGGTTCCTTTTTGTTTAGTGTGTGTATGTATGTGTGTGCTTTGCTGTGTGTAGGCAATATCTTGTCTGTGTCTTAGTCTGAGAGCATGTCAATGGTTTGAGACTGGAGTCTTGTCAAGTGACTCAGAATTCTAGCGTAAAATCATTACTTCTGTGAAGTCAGCTTGAAGTTTTAAAAAAAAAAAAAGAAAAAAAAAAAGTCTCGTAGCTATGCTAATTGCAGCTTTTAGTTGGCATTCTTTATCATGCAGCAAAAATTGTGACAAGTGCGCATAAGAAGAGATCCCTTATGGGTTGGTTGACTTTATAGAGATGAGTATACATAGCTCTTAGCAGAAAAGTTGTGTTGACTTTACTTGCGAATATACTGGTGATCAATCCTACAGTTATACCATACATCCAGATACCACACATCCAGGCACTGAAGACATTCCATGGTCCCTGCCATCTGATTATTCCAGTCTGTATTTCTACATACCCTATTTGGCTTGAGAGATGGACACTGTCATGGATTCTCAAAGACTGAACTCTCAAACTAACCTGCTTGGTGTACCACCATGTCCATCACTTGACATTCACTGGTGCTACCCATCTCTTGAAGTTCCTCACTGACCTTCTACACCATCCTGCTGTGTAAATGGAAGTTGAGTATAGCTGACTGGATATGGGATACAGTTCTGTCCATTTGCTGGGATGGCGGCATGTATGATGTTAAAGGTTTTCTCACACTATTTTTTTTTTTTTTCTTTTTTTTTTTCTTCTTTTTGTACCTTTTTTATTTTTCTGTGTAACTAGGTTCTTGCATTTCCTGTCACTAGTAGAAGGTGGGTCATGCCCCTTCTCTGAATATGTACTGTAATTCTTTGTAAATAGAAGAAAACACAATACTGTAAAGTTTAAATTTACTCCTGCCTCCTGTTTGTACTGATTTGTTTGTGTGGCTGAAGAAATTGGACTATTACAGGTAATCCATTTGGAAGAACACTTATATCTCATTACACTACAGTATCTTCACTTTTAAAGGAATGTTCCGATTTCAAATAAACGGTGGAAAACACTTTCTGTCCGCGACGTGTCCAATAGTGGAGGGTGCTCCATTCCATTTCCAATTCTGCTAATTACTGCTTTACCAATTACTGCTAGTTCTCACTAAGGAGACATGTATCTGTATGTGCACGTTAGATTTTTTTGTTTGTGGACTTTTAACCACAGTTTTACAGGTTTGTTTGTGTTTACATGTATTCAGGAAAGTAGAAAGCAACATTTAAAAGTAGGAAAGTACACCGTGACAAGCACAAAACCTTAACCACCTCCCGCCCGCCATATAGTCCAATGACGGGCGCAAAGTGGTTCTCTCGTTCTGACGTCCTCCCATTCTCAACGCGGCTCAGGGAGCACGCAGCGCAGCAATCGGCGGTGCGCTGTGTACCTCGGACACAGCGGATCACCGATCTACGGGAAGAGCCGAAGATGTCGGCTCGGTCTTGTGATCAGCTGTGTCCAATCACAGCTGATTACATGTAAACAGGGAAATGCTGGTTATCAGCATTTCTCTCCTCTCGAGCTGTCACGCTGACAGCTGGAGAGGAGAGCAGAGCCGGTAATCGGCATTCCGCGGAGGGGCCATGTACACTGATCATCAGGGCACTGATGATCAGTGTGGCCCCAGAAGTGCCACCTGTCAGTGTCCATCAGTGCCAGCTGTCAGAGCTGAACAGTGTTACGTGTGCCAGTGCCACATATCAGTGCCTACCAGTGCACATCAATGCCACATATCAGTGCCAATCTGAGCTGCCTTCCAGTGCCACCTATCAGCGCCAGTCAGTGCCATATATCAGTGATGCCTGTCGATGCCCATCAGTGCCACCTATCAGTGCCCATCAGTGCAGCCTCACTAGCTCACATCAGTGAAGGAGAAAAATCACTTTTTACAAAATGTTATAACAAAAACTAAGAAAAAACTTTTTTTTTTCAATATTTTCAGCGGTTTTTGGTTTAAGAAAAAATAAAAAACCCAGAGGTGATTAAATACCACCAAAAAAAAGCTATATCTGCCACAAAAAAAGATAAAAATTTCATATGGGTACAGTATTGCATGACCGCACAATTGTCATTCAAAGCGTGACAGCGCCGAGAGCTGGAAATTGGTGTGGGCAGGAAGGGGGGGTATAAGTGCCCTGTAGGCAAGCGGTTATACTCATGTTTTTTTTTAATCTAAGTAAACTTGCTTTAATTTTTTTTTTTAATTGCTACCTGGGAGTTATTCAGCCGTGTTCCGGGGTGGCCCAAATGGTCTACAGATATTACAATATAGTTAATGAACATTTTACCGACTGCACAGCTTTTTAATATCTACTGGTACCCTTTGACTGCATAGGCTATTTTCTGAAAAAGGTGAAGTTTGGCTTTAAGCACGTGAGCGCTTGTTGAGGCTGGTGTTCATCAGACTGGCTTTTACTAGCCAAGATGAAAAAAAAAGCTTGTTTGTACATAGCCTAAATAGGAAACATGCATTTAGTAGAAGTAAAGGAAACTAACTATGCTGCAAGCTGTAGCTTTTGTAGTGATTCAGTGATTTTAGTGATTTTGTCCAGCCCTGGTTTGATACACTGCATACACATGAAAAAAAAAAAAAACAGTTTTTAGGCCCTGTTCACTCTGTTACAGTGTGAATTCGATCTGTTTTTGACTGTGTGTTTGGTGTGAGTTCAGAGGTGGGATTTGTGTGTCTCAGGCATGATTCTGATGCAAATTATTCAGCAGTTCAGGTGTGATTCTGATAAGCCTCCCATCGACCTCAATGCAAAAATTGCCTTCAAACAGCAGGATTTGCATTGATGTTTACATGATGAAATTTCCACTGCAGAGGACCTTTTTTTTTTTTTTTTTTTTTTTTTATTTATATAACCAGTTCACAATCGCATTACATAGATGTGAATGGCCTTCATTGAAAACAATGTTTTTTC